AGCCCGGTCGTGTATACTGTACTGGGACGCTTACGTACGTATGTGCGGAAGCTCGGGGTGCGTTACGTAACTGCACGATCAATGAAGCAGCATCATACACGTAGAATTCCGTAGTCAAAGAAAGCGTCGGCCCACAGTGACCTAAAAAACTCCACATACCTTTCTCGTCCTTTTGGCTAAGATCAAGTGTACAGTATCTGTTCTGATCAGTTTAAAAAACAAAAAAAACACTCCACATGCATAGACCACCACAGTGTGTAGACTCGACCAAAGAAAAACACACAATGAAAGAGGACAAAGAAGACACACTGCCACACGCCAAAAAAAAAAAAAAAGAGAGAGAGAGAGAGAGAGAAAGCCCGGGGCTTACTTGGAAAGCGACCTTTCAAAGAACACAGGTAGGTAAGGAGAACAGTTTTTGACTTTTCATTTGACAACAAAAGAGAACATATTACGCACTTCGCGATCTAAAAGGGTAGCTTACTACCTAGCAATTGGAATTTCTGAACTAATGTGGCCGCGATTGCGATCAGATACATGCCTTCGGGACTCATGCCTTCGGAAGTCCCGCCTACTACCATAGTAGTTTTAGTATGCCCTAGTAGGATTATAAAAGGATTATCAACAATGTCGCCAGAAAAAACGAAAAAAGAGACCAAGACGGGTAATCACAATCCATCCATCCTTGGAGGCAATCAGCACTAAGCGTCACCATGGTAGCAGTCACGGGTGAAAAAAAAAAAAAAAAAAATCCCGGCGAGAGGGTCGGAGCTCGTGGCGGAATGGCACACGCACGCACCTAGAACTAATGAATGATAAACAGATCACGAGCTCCAACCCTCTGACACATAGCGATTTTTTTTTTTTCACATAGCAATTTGACGAAGCTCGATAGTCAACAGATGGACAAGTCAGCGACAAAAAAGAAAGTTTCACAGAAGCTTAAGAGGAGTTGAAAACAGAGCCAAGAGTGGTGCGAGAGAGCAAGGCTGTACCCGACCCCCATCGCCGCGTGGGCTGCCGAGAGATCCGGGTTGGTTGGTGTTCCTGCGTACAATATGTAGCTAGCAAGAGGATGAGATAGATGAATACAGAGATAGATGGAGAGAATAATATTAGCTTAGTTAAAAAAAAAACAAAAAAAAAACACGAGTGGCGAGGAGTGAGCACCCGCTGAACGTAGAGAGTATCAGCTGAACGTAGAGAGTATGCAAGGCCACAGATGAGTGTGAACACACACACGCACACACACACACACACACACACACACACACACACACACACACACACACACGCACACACACACAAAAAAAAAAAAACAAAAAAAAAAAAACATGCGTGTGACTGGCTTGCATTGCAGCTGACAACGTGCAGAAAGTAATACACAACACCGGTACGGTATGCGCGGTGGGGTTGGTGGGTTGGCAATGAAACGCTAGACACAACAGGGGCGGTACTTGCAGTGGGGTTGGTGGGATGGTGCTTAAACCCTAAACCCACGCGAGTGCGGATGTAGCACACCGGTGGAAGGAGTGCAACCGTAAACCCTAAACCCTAAACCCTACCGTCTTACCCCGGACACAATGCACCCTCATCAGGGCTGAAAAGTGGGGGTCCCTGTTAACCGCTTGTGTGGGACCACAAAAGTTCTTGTACATATTCATGGCGACGGTGGGTTGTGTTGGCGGGCCGGCACTGGCGGACTATCATCAACGGCAGATGGATCGACTGAGTCAAGACTCATCAACAGCTTTCCTATCACCAGAACTATGTGGCAAGCTCCAGCTATGCAATCTCTTTTTGGCTTTCTCTCTTCTCTCTCCTTTTTGCTTTTCCGGACATTGATTCCTCCCCCCGCCCCCCCCCCAAGTGGCACACCCTATACCCTAAACCCTCCCAGTGGAACGGCTTTCTTCCCCCTAAACCCTAAACGGGGGGTCAAAATGCATGCCTCTGCGTTCATTCTGTCTTCTTTTCGCTGGCCTTTCCGGACTGTTAAGGACGCAAACCGATTTTGTGCTATACTGGTTTGGGGTTTGCTGGCTTCTGTGGTGGTTTGCTGGCTATCCGTCTTCCCCCGAACATAATGCACCGCGATATTGAATGTATACAACCCATCTTTCCGGTCGTGTACAGCCATAACGAGGGTGCGTTGCATTGTGTTCGGGGGTAGACCACTACTGTGCTAGAGACAATTTGCCAAATCTCCTGTGAGCTGTTAGCCAGTGACACAGTCTGCTTGGTCGGTCGAGTGCCACGTGGCAGAGTCCTTGCATGCTTGCAGGTAAGCTGCAGCCAATTGGATGCGCATGCATGCTTGTCACTTTCTACCCGCTCACACAGAGCTTGAACTTGTGCCTAGGCGGGAAATCTGAGGAAGACGGTTACGGATCGCATCAGCACCACTGGAAGATCTCCCACCGTCTTCTATGTTTAAACAACACTAATGTCGTCCATCACATGAGGGAGGAGTGCCATTTTTTTCCCTTGTGATCTCTGCTGTGTGTGAAGGGTAGGGTACAAAATGAACAGAAAGAGATGGAGAGGTGAGGAAGTGGGGAGCGGACATGCACCACACACACACACACACACACACACACACACACACACA